TACCACACCCAGTGCCAGGAACGAAATCATTAACCCACCTGAACCCTCCATTAACAGGATCACATTTCTGCATTCCACTTTTCAGAGCAGGCCCCAAAGAAAAGCAAGCTTATATTTAAGAGTGTATGATTTTTTTCTTTTTTCCATTTATGTTGCAATAGTTGGGGAATATCTCAAGGACAACCCACATTCCTTCCAGATTCCTCTATGTGTCCATCTCTGACCCAGAGCACACAGATTTCACACTCCAAATCCCAACTTAGTGACTAAACAACAACAACCCAGTTAAGTGGTGGGAAGCTCTGGATCCATTTAGCCAACATCCTGGGTCTCAGACAAAATTCTGTCCAGGGACTTTCTTAGTGGTCCAGTGGCTAAGACTCTGAGCTCCCAATGCAGAGGGCCCAGGTTCGATCCCTAGTCAGGGAACTAGATCCCACATGCTGAACTAAAGTTTCCACTTGCCACAACTAAGACCAGGTAATCAAATATACAAATAAATATCAAAAAAATTCTGTCCAGAGATAGTGAGGCGACACCTGCTCCTTGGAATAAATGCTTCAAGACAGTGCATTCTCCCAAGAAGGCACAGAGCATGCTCTGTGTGACCCCAACTCCCTCCAGTGCACATGAATTTACCCTCCACAGTTTGAAATTCTTTCACACCTAGGCCTTGCGTTGTTTGGAAAGAAAACAAAGTATTTTAAAGAAGGCAGGCAGCCCAGGCCTAAGTGAGCTTCCAAGTTTCACGCAGATATCAACCAGGTTTTAACAAAGCCAACTTTGTCGTTGTTGCTATTTAGTTGCTAAGTCATATCTGGCTCTTTGTGACCCCACAGACTGTAGCCCACCAGACTCCTCTGTCCAGGGGATTTTCCAGGCAAGAATACTGGAGTGGGTTGTCATTTTCTCCTTCAGGGGATCTTCCCGACCCAGGAGTGGAACACGCATCTCCTGCACTGCAAGAGGATTCTTCCCCACTGAGCCACCAAGGAAGCCCTAAGGGCTACCTTGCTACTGCACTAATATTTCTTCCTTAATTCTCCCTAGCTAAGTGAAGGGAGTTAAGAGGAAGACACCTGGCAAGAGAGAAGAATCTCAAGTTGGTTCCCGTTCCAAGAGCTTTGCCCATTGGACACAAGTCTGTCCCAATGCCCACTAACCTCCGTCCCCAGAGAATATCCCTGACCAGCTTCCTGGCTCATCCCAGGGCCTCTGACCTCATTCAACACAAGCAACATTTACTGAGGGCACTGAGGTGCCAGGGACTTCACAAAAGAGCCTTGGGAGGGGGCAAGAGGTGGAAGAGGAAGAAAAGCTACCACCACTGCCCTCAAAATGCTCATAGTCCATGGCAACACAGACAGCCACAGACACAGCTGCCTGTCCCCAGACACCATCAGCTTGTCCTGATGCCTCTGGCTGGAAGGAAGATACTCCCTCCCCATTCTCAGAACACAGTGATAGGTTTTTCTTACACATTCTTTGATGTGACAGAGGCTCACCAAATCATGAAAAGATTGCTTACAGGAAAAGGGACTTGTGGACAAAATCATAGGACTTCATACTAGAAGTCTCGAAAGCTTGAAAGACATCATTTTAGGTCAAGGGCCAGCAGAGGTGGAAAAGGCACAGGCACAGTGCCTATGTTTTTCTCCAGCTCACCTCCTGCCCTGAGGCAAGGCACACTCCACTAAGAGTTTTACAGAGGGAAGGACTGGTTCAGCGGTTTTTATTAGCAGTAAAACCCTCATAGTTTCCAAATTACATTTGATCTAGAACCTCAATATATAAAAAAAAAGAAAAGGAGTCAGGGCTGCAAGCCCAGAGCCAACCCACTAATGCTAGGTGGCCACCAGGGCAGCCAGTTTGAAATCTGTAGGAATAACATCTGAAAACTCCTTCCAGAATTTGTACACCCTCGCTTGGAGGACAGAAGGAGGGGATTCTCGTTGACTGAATGCTTTCTGTGGTGCCTGACAATTTATCAGTCAAGGATCATTGAAATCTCTGCAACAGTAACGTAAGTTCAACTAATGCCTGTGAACTAGTGTCTCCTTGGATCTGAGCTGTGAACTGGGATGTTGGTAAGAGGCAGAATTGGGTTTTGAATCAAGGATTTTCTGGCTCCAAACATGGGATTTCTACTCTTTGCTAAGGGGTGTCTGGAAATGTGGGCTGAATCAATCTCCTTGAATGGTAAAAACAAACATACATGTATATATGCCTAGGAAAACACATCTTGACAAATACACCTCTTAAAATTATCATTAGCTGGGCTCCCCAGGTGGCGCTAGTGGTAAAGAACCTGCCTGCCAATTCAGGAGACAAGAGAGGCAGATTTAATGGGTGGGTAGGGAAGATCCCCTGGAGGAGGGCATGGCAACCCACTCCAGTATTCTTGCCTGGAGAATCTCATGGACAGAGGAGCCTAGTGGGCTACAGTCCTTGGGGCAGAAAAGAGTCATACACAATTGAAGTGACTTAGCATGCATGCACATATGGTAGTCATGTAGATGCCTTATAGTCTATCTGGTCTATATTTTCTAATTTTCCTATAATGAATAGTTATTTTTATACAAAACAGGTATTGCTTATTAAAATGGTTTTAATAATTCACAACTGACACATATTGGGTTTCTGTAGAATTGGGGGCTGGAGGGATAGGTGGTATCTCTGAAGTTTTGGAGTTGACAGTGGAAATAACAACCCCAAATTCTGAAAACTCTCTCTTGGGGTAGAGGGCCCTGGGCTAAGGAGCAGTTCTCATGGTCATTTAACAGCTGGCGAAGGAGAGGGTGGGACGAATTAAGAGAGTAGAATAGACATATATATATATTACTATGGCTCAGACAGTAAAGAATCTGCAATGCAGGAGACCTGGGTTCCATCCCTGGGTTGGGAAGATCCCCTGGAGGAGGGCACAACAACCCACTCCTGCATTCTTGCGTGGAGAATCCACACGGACCGAGAAGCCTGGCGGGCTACAGTGCATGGGGTTGCAAAGAGTCGGACGTGACTAAGCGATTAAGCACACATATGTAAAATAGCTAGTGGGAAGCTGCCATATTACATAGGGAGCTCAGGCCAGTACTCTGTGATGACCCAGAGGTGTGGAAGGGAGGGGGCAGGGAGGCTCCAGAGGGAGAGGATGTTTGTACACTTATGGCTGATTCATGTTGTTGCACAGCAGAAACCAACGTAACACTGCAAAGCAATTATCCTTCAATTAAAAATAAATAAATAAACAAAACATTCTCTGAAATGAAACTGTTCACTTCTAGGAAGTGTGGTTATTTTCAAAAACAACAGTAAGTCCTTAAGACCCCACCCAAACCTATGCCTCTCTTCTCCACTCCTCTCAGTGGCCTCATATACAGGCTGAGGGTGCTAATAAAATTAAAGATGGTCACACGGACCCCTTATGACACATGGACCCCAGAAAGCCTACCTCCTTAGTGTTCCAGCCCCAGCCCAGCAGGACCTTTGGAGAGTGAGCCCTCCAGCCTGGCCAACTCAACTCTCTGGCCCCACCCTGAAGTCCCCCCAGAAGCCACTTGAAAATATGACAATCACAGCACTACTTCAGGAGAGAGAAAAAAAAAAAAACACCCAGAAGGCAAGACAGGCCTTGATCGGGCATGAGGTGGGGCCAGCTGTGCCAGCCACTTTCCTGGGTTATTCATGCCAGCCCCGCCTGCAGAAATCTTCTAAATATTTAACATGCCACCTCTAGGTACAGGACAAACCCCCAGCAGGCGGCAACAGCTGCGGACAGGCCCGCAAGGAATGAACAACTCGGGGGGCTGAAAGCCCATGCCCTGGCTTTCAGAGGAAAGCCCAGAATGGTGGCCGTGAGACAATGCTGAGTACTGCTTCAGAAAGCAGCCCCTGACCGGCTTCTGTGAAAATCAGGAAAGAAGGATAGGAGATGGGAGGTGTTTCCAAACGTGGAGGGTGATGGTGCAGAATCAACCAGAGTCGGGAGCCCCTCTTTCTCAGACAAAGAAAAAACCAGAATCGCACCACCTGGCCCCCGTTCCCAGGCCAATTTCACCCCGGTTCCCCGAGCAGGTGGCAAATCTGACTCAGGAGAGGCTGGTCAACGAAGGGGAGGAACTCGAATAGATGGCTATGTCTACCTCCAAAGGAGGGCAAATCCGCGAGAAAAGGAACTCTTGAAAGGTCTAGTCAGCTCTGGGGCTTGTCAGAGCAGAAAACGCCCCCCACGCCCACCCGCGATGACTTCACGCAGGCCTCACCCCGGATGACTCTGCGCTCCCCTGCAAGGCCGGGGAGGTGTCATCGCCACCGTCAGGGTGGCCGTCCGTCACTTGGAAATTTCCCGGAGATAACCTGTCTCTCTCTCTCCTTCAAACCCCCCGCCAAAGGACTCAGACAAGGGGACGCGAGATTCAGAGGTGTCCTTCTCCGTTCCACTTCCCTTGGCCGCTGTCAATTTGAGAACCCTAAAAAGGAGTCTTTTTCAACCCCCTGGGGAGCCCCGCCTCTGCCTCTCTGCCCTTCTCCGCGACTACCCTTCCAGGCAGCGCCCAGGCTCTGCCGTCAATTTCACCCGACCAAAGCGTAGCGGCGGGGCGATCCCAGGCCAGCGTTTCTCCCCCAAGGAGAGGGACGCGTGTCCCCGCGGCGCGCCCACTCGGGGCCTCTACCAAGCCCATCAAGCGGGGAAACAAAGCGGCCGGGCGCGGCGACACGCGCCCCCCGGCGCAGCCCCGTGCGCCCCAGCCCTCGCGGCCCCACCCGCCGGTCCCCCGCGCCCCGGGCCCGGCCCCGCAGGGCAGCAGCCGCGTCCTGCGCCGCCAGATCGCCCGCGACCTCGGCAGCTACTGTACCTGCTAAATTTAGCGGCCGCCGGGTATTAATAGCCGGAGCCACCGGGGCCGGCGTTCCGCAGGGGCGTCCGCAGCCCCCGGGGCCGGCGGCGGAGAAGGAGGGAAAGGAAGGAAGGAAGGGACGCGGGGAAGGAGGCCACTTACACCACCAGCCTGGAGATGATCCATGCCACCATGGCGGGGGCCGGGCGGGCGCGGCTCGGCGACGCGGGGCGGCTCGGCTGCGGCGCTCCGGGCACGTCCGTCCGCGCACGGCCGCCGCCGCCAGACTGAACGCACCCGCCGCCCTGCCCGGCGCTCGCGCGTCGGCGCAGCCGCGGCACGTTCCGGCGGCGGCCCCAGCCCCCCGGGGCACCGCGGGCCCGCGGCGATTGGGCGGCGAGCGGCTCGGGCACCCGCGGGACCCGCCCCGCCCCGCTGGCCCCGGGTCCCCCGGCTAAATTCGAGCGGTTCCTCCGCGCGCCCCGGTGCCCCCTCCGTTCACAAGGGGACCCTGCAGTGGCCTAGTGGGCAGGGCAGAGACCCCAGGGCCTCCCCACCCTCGGTGCTCCGGGGGAGAAACTGAGGCGTGGACTTTGGGAATCTGTGTCCACCTGTTCTGATTAGAATACAGCCATCCCTCGCCCGGATACCGCGCTGGCCGCGTAAGGGACTTAGCAGTATCCACATCTGACTTCTCCAATTGCCCCCCACAAGGCGTTATCTGCCTAAGAAACAAATCTGGGCCTGTGTCTCCCGAGGTTAAAATTCTGAAGAGTTCCTGCAAAATCTGGTCTCTGCCTACAAACTCACAGCTACCACCAAAGCCCAGATCCCCTCTCCGGGCCTTTTTACTTCAGGCATTTTGGACTTAGACCACGTTGTCCCCTCTCCCCTGTTTATACTCCTCAAGCCTTGTCTCCTTCTTCCAGGCTCAGATAAGGGTTATTTCCTAAGGACAGCCTTTCCTGGAGGCTGTTCCAGCGTCTCTGTGTCGAAGTGGCTCCCAGTGCCCTGGAGGAAGAGAGAAGCTGGTATTGCCTAGCACCAGGGCCCTGTGGAGCCATTTTGGAGTCTTAAGCAAACGGGAAAATGTGCATCTATAGCGTTTGTTTTGTTTTTAAACATTGAACAAAATGTGATTTATCTTGATAACTGCGTCTTGTGGCACTCCCTTATATTTTGCCACTGAAAAAGTGCCTCAACCTTCTCACCCTGGATCTTATAGACGTGCTCCCTGTTACACTGTTCCATGTGCTCTTGAAAAACCTTTGTCTACTGCGCCTGCCCTTGGCTGCTGCTTTCCTCACTGCCTCCATGGTGCCTTCTGAGAGCCTCTTCTTTGCTGATGCGATGTCATGTATAATTCAGTGTCAGATGCCAGAGACACAGGAAAGAGCCAGCTTGAAGCCTTCTTTAAAGGAAACTTGCCCACGACAGCTCCCTAGCAGAGGAGAGGAGACCTCAGACCTTGGAAAGAGGCTGAAATGTTCCTTCAGAGGGAGCAGAGAGACAGCGAGGGTGCAATATAGGCAGAAAAAAGACCTTGCCCACAATAAGGGAATGGGAGACAAGACATTCTCTTTCAGTGCATGGGCTTTCCCAGGTGGCTCAGTCAGTGAAGAATCTGCCTGCAATGCAAGAGACCTTAGTTCCATCCCTGGGTTGGGAAGATTCCCTGGGGAGGGAAATGGTAGCCCACTCCAGTATTCTTGCTGGGAAATCCCATGGACAGAGGAGCCTGATGGGCTACGGTCCACAGGGTCACCAGAGTCGGACACAACTTAGCGTCTAAACCACCAAAGAACCCATCAAATACCTGTAATAGAGTAGTAGTTGTTGTTGTTTAACGCTGTTTTGACCCAGGTTTGAGGTCCAGCAGGGACTAGTCAGTTCCCCTTCGTTGGCAGCCAAGCAAGTCCACACCCCACCACCTGCCTTATCAGACTCTGGCACAGGCCACCATAACCCAGCTTATCGCTCCGGGGCCAAGTACCAGATGGCCAGGGACAGCTTCTATGTCCTCGAGCCCACCAAAATTATTCAAATTAGCTAGTCCTAAACCTGTTTATCCTGCCTTGCTTTTTCCTTCCCACGGAAACCACAGTTTCCCTCCGTCTGTCTGCCTAGTCATCCACCCCCATGTTTACAGCAAGTAGCTCTATGCGCAGGGCTACTGTCCAGGGAACTGTCCAATTCTCTGTCCAAGGAACCGTGAGTATAACAAAACTGTAAAACTTTTTGCTTTCTACCTCCTGATCCAGCCTCATCGTACTTTACTCAAGGTAATATGGTGAACATAGTTGTTGTTGTTCAGTTGCTAAGTCATGACTGACTCCTCGTGACCCCATGGACTGTAGCCCACCAGCCTCCTCTGTCCATGGGATTTCCCAGGCAAGAATACTGGAGTGGGTTGCCATTTACTTCTCCAGGGGATCTTCCCGGATCAGGGATGAAACGGATGTCTCCTGCATTGATAAATGGATTCTTTACCACTGAGCCACCGGAGAAGCCTGGTGAAAACAGAACCCCCCAGGAAAAAGCTTGGAATACCTACTAGGCAGATCAGGACAGTACCAAGCTAATAGGAATTTCCTCCATCCCCTCCCCACACCCAGGTCAGAAAATGCTGTTAGTGGTGTTGAGGGGTGGATAAGGGAGGAATTTTGTAGTTTAAAGAGAGACTTTTGGTGGGAAATTAGAGAAGCTGGTCACATGCTATTTCTCTCCTACTTTTGTTGTTTAGTTGCTAAGTCATGTCCGGCTCTTTTGTGACCACATGGACTGTAGCCTGCCAGGCTCCTCTGTCCGAGGGATTTCCCAGGCAAGAATACTGGGGTGGGTTTGCCAATTCCTCCTCCAGGGCATCTTCCCAGCCCAGGGATTGAACCTGCGTCTCCTGCATTGGCAGGAGGGTTCTTTACCACTGGCCACCAGGAAAGCCCTTCTCTCCTGAAGATGCCCCCTATTCCTAGAAATAGAATTCTTAGGTTTGACTGATGCTCACAACTGGACATTTTCATTAATGAAATGAGACTATTCTTGGGATTAGAATATCTGAAGATCTTTCTGTTACCTGAAGAATACCAAAAAGCTAGTGGGACCAACCAGATTTCATTCAAGGGCTGGGGAAAAAAAATGTTCAACAGCACAAACAGGCAGGGGAGGGGAAAGAACACAGAGAACAAAGTTGCTTTTCTATTTCTTTCTATCTCTTTCAGGGTAACTGTTACATATATTAACTCTCTCCTTCATAGACTCCTTCCAGTTCCTCCTTGACCCTGGAAAGAGCCTTTGAAACAATGAGTCTCTTACAGCCCTATCAGCTGTTTCCCTTTAAGTTATTTCTCACATGAATTGCTATTGCCATGGATACTTAGGTGGAGACTTACACTCTGTTTTTCCCCTGTACCCTTTCTTCTGAGAAAATCAATCCATTTTGCATTGAGGAGTGATTTTCCCTATCCTCCAATCTTTTTTTTTAAATTAAAGTTTATAGCTAATTTACAATGTTGTGTTAATTGTCTGGTCCTTCAAGTGTCATTTTTCACAGGTCCTTGCTACCTTGACTGGCCAAGGGTGAGCACTGGGCATCAGCTGAGCCAAAGTTCTCCCCTGGGATTTTTAAAGTCAAAAATAGGAAAGAGAGACTTTAGTTTTTCATCCATTTATATGAAATTCTAGTCAAGACAAAACCTTTGACTCTGCAAATTCTAGCTTCCTACCTAAACTATCAGAGTAACAGAAAATACATCAGTGTTTCCCAGATGCCAGGAATGGGGGAAGGCAATTGACTGCAAAAGGGCAAGAAGGAACTTTTAGGTGATGAAAAAAATTGGCAATGATAGCATTTTCAGTGAGAAATATCAAGACAATATAGCGCACTTTTCATAAAGCTAATGTATGCCATCTAAAAGACCATCTCTTATTCTGAGATTGTCTTTTATACCTTTGGGGTTCCTAATATGTCCTTTCTTTTATGACATCATGGTGATAGCAATTAGTGGTTGTTATTTTATTAATGTCCTTCCTGGCAAAGTAAAAAACTACCAAACTAACGTCATTCCCTTCAGTTACTTCCTTTTTTCTTTTTTTCCAAGTGTCACTGTTGCTTGAAATTCAAATGCCCAGGGGCCATTGCTCTGCCCTAGTCTTTGGGTAGCATGGACTCAAGAGGTGCATAATTGGACACTTGACATTGTTGTAGAGTTCTGTGGTTGTTGTTGTTGTTGTTGTTTTCCATCTTCCCTTGTAGAACTAGCATATGTATTGATTTATAATTTATACCCCACCTGTTTCCAGAAGGATTCAAGGCCACAAGACAGTTTTTCCCCTGGCATCCCCCCAGACTCTTATAGCGGTTACTGAGTCAGATGGGGCCCTTTCCTGGGTGCCGACAGGATTCAAGCAGCAGGAGTGGGAGGATGAGGCATGATCTTGCGCTATCTATTGCAGGCAGAGCTGCCACATTGCCATTTGGCAGAGCTCAGCAGGGAAAGGCAGAGATTGAGACCAGGGGCCCTTGGCACGCGTCCCAGGCCAGCCCTCAACTGTGGACCGGCAGCTGCAGCTTCTGTCTCCTGGCATGTGGTTCTTCAGAAGTCTATCTTTAGGCTGTAAAGCTTTGCCTTGGGCCACACTCTTCCCTTCAGGTGACGGAGTGCTCTTGTCACCCCCCTTATAAATGACTACCCGTAATAGGACCCCAAAAGTTCTTGGGAGAATAATGTAGCAGAAGAGCTAAGAGTCTGATCTCTGGAGGAATAGTGCCTGGATTGAACCCTAGTTCTGCCTCTTACTAGGTATATCATGTCCTTGGGCAAGCTATCGAACCTTCCTAGGCCTCTGTCTCCTCATATGTAAAGTGAGGGTGATAGTAGTAGAACATACGTCATGAGTTGGTCATGAAACAGGGCCTGGGGACTGCCCTAGTGGTCCAGTGGCTAAGACTCTGCCTCCCAACATAGGGAGCCCTGGTTCGATCCCTGGTCAAGGAACTAGATCCCATGTGCCCCAACTAAGAGTTCACCTGCTACAACTCAAAACCCCACATGCTGAAACTGAGGCCTGGTACAGTCCCCAGAAAAACACAAATAGGGCCTAGGAAAGGCCATTTAAAACCACATGAGGGAAAAAAAAAAAACAAACACATGAGGACTTCCCCGGTGGCTTAGTGGATAAGAACCTGCCTGCCGTT